TTTTTGTACAGTTCTTCTGTGTATTCTTGCCACCTCTTCTTAATATCTTCTGCTTCTGTTAGGTCCATACCATTTCTGTCCTTTATTGAGCCCATCTTTGCATGAAATGTTCCCTTGATAGCTCTAATTTTCTTGAAGAGATCTCTAGTCTCTCCCATTCTATTGTTTTCCTCTATTTTTTTGCATTGATCACTGAGGAAGGCTTTCTTATCTCTCCTTGCTAGTATTTGGAACTCTGCATTCAAATGGGTATATCTTTCCTTTTCTCCTTTCTTAATTTTAAAACAGAGATTAAGAATGTCTTTTCTCAGTTTTAGAAAAAGGTTTGGAAACAACACTGACATACTTTCAAATGGTATTTCCAGACAGTAATTTAAATTTATGATTTCCCAGTTTTTCATGTAAGTACATGTGTATTTACTTTCATAAGTATAAAGGTATACACATAGACACATATGTGTATATACATGTATATACACACTTAAATAATGGAAACTCATTTTAGAAATATTTGTATAACATGGATCCATAAGGCTCAGAAAGAATTCATTACTCATTTTTCCCTAGTAATATTTTTAGGCATTCATTCATTTTTCACTTTAGCCAAACTAAAATTGAATGTGGGATCATGTTTCCTGCCATTTCTTGTTTTAGTTTTTTAAGTGGTAGTCATCTACATAATATAACTACATAATATTCTATACATCTCCTAAATTTCTGAGATTTTAAAAGCTATGTGTGATGGTGAGTGATAGCTCTAGTTGAGGTGAGGACCAAACAGAGGTCACTATAGGAAGTAAATAATGTTGCGGAATTGATCTTAATTCTATAAAACCAAGTCCTGAAAAGTAGAGAAACCTAACAGAGGAGATGGGGATAAACAATGAATGGTAAAATAAATTCTGTTAAGGAAATACCAGCAATTAAATCATGTATTATCTGTAGATGTATCACAGATAAATATTTTTCAGTTTTGAAGGCAACACATTCAGTCATAAGATAGTTTCACATATTTTATGATGACCTTCTAGCAAAAGAAAAAATTAATTAAAATTATCTTGTGATATAATGTCCTAGTTTAGTATCTAAAGAGTCTGATGAGAGCTGGTATTAAAAAAAAAAAACTTGAAAAATAGATTTAAAAGACTAAAAGTAAATGCATATACAGAAAACCATACTAATTCTCTTCTCTAAACTTATAGGTTATTAATTACTTTTGGCTTTTTCCCTGTGTCGTCTTGTTTGATTTTGTTTTCAAAGTTAAAATGCCAAGGAGTTCATTATTGTTAACTGTATTTAACTGCCCTGCGATATACCAGATTCTCATTACAACTGGGTCCATGCAGTGTGGGCTGTGGGGCCCCTGCCTTTGTGATCACTTCTTAAAAGTTTGCTTCAGCAACTAATAAACCTGGTCCTTTAGGCCATAGAGAGCTCTTTCATCTCTTTATTCTAATGAAACTTACTAAGAACTATAATCTTAACCTTTGTGAGCCTTTGTAATTTGCTTTGGTGTACTCATTTCTTGGTCTTCACTGATGAGCAGCTCAGTCAGGGCAAGGACAGGGCCAACACTGTGCGTGTGTGTGTGCTATGTTTTCCAGAGGCCAGTCCAGTGCTTGCTATGTATTATATCTGCCATTAATATCTTTGCTGAACGAACCAACTCTCTTTGGATGGACTTGAGACAGTCACTTCTATATAATACCTTTTTCTCTCCAGGATGATTAAAGCAATATTTCAGTGAAGGTTATACATGATCAGAACTGAACAGTCTTCAGTCTGTTGAAGCACAGGGAGTGAAGGGAACAAAGATATTGACCCATAAAAATTAATTAACAAGAAATAACATCTCCTAAATAAGCAATGGAACACAAAGGATGTGTTGACTGGTCAAAAGGACCTTGATTAGAAGTTATGATAGAGAACATATCTAAGTTGTTTGTAAGAGGAGTAAATATATTACAAAGCTCTATGCAAATTTGTTTCACCCAGTACTGTCTAAAGGACTATCCACAGTGCAGAAATGAGATTAAATTCTTAGGTAAAATAGCCCTTTCTTACTCTTCAGTTTTCTCTAGGTTTTTAACACTACACTTTTCTTCTATGTCCATTATCAGTCAGGGTCATCAAAAAAAGAACTCAGCTGTAACATGGATTCCTGAGAAATGAATCACAATTTCATGCAATGAAGCTCTTCATTCAAACTGTTCTTTAAGCAATGATTCAAGCTCTCTTTAAGTCCCTCATATATAATCACAAGTCAGTAGATCAATAATAAGATGGAGCAGTCATAACATCTTGATAGGAATAAATATTAGTTCAGTAGAAATAATTTAATAACCATATGTCTGCATTCCCAAGCATTCATGATAGATGGTAGAATATAGATCTAGTTTATTTTCAGAGCACCTATTTTCCTTTAGATATTTGTGCTGCTGTTTGCTTTGTTGGGAGATTGATTGCTTTCCTGGCCCCAGCTCTTCACTGTCATGCCCTCCCTCCCCCTACAGCCATGCCCTTAGACATGTAACTTTATAATTGCCTTCTGCTCTGACTTCAAGCTCAACCATTGTGATTCACAGTGGCAAGTGAAATGCTGGCTAATGTGAAATTCACAGACATGAATTCACAGTGCAGTCAGGCTTACTCTTAGAGTTGCCCTTGGATGCCGTGAGAAGAACTTGCCCAGGCTAACCTGCTCGAAGAGGAAACACATGGAGCAGAGCTGGTGCCCACAGCTATCTCAGCCAAGGCCAGCCTCAGGCAGCTGACAGCAGCTGCAGGCACGTGAGCATGCCAGGTCAGGACCAGCAGGACCACACAACCCACCCACAGAAGTGAGAGTCTAAGAGCTGCCTATTGTTTTAAGCCTTTATTTGTTGGGGCAGTTTGTTCCATGGCATTAATATGATAATTCCTACCTGATGCAATTTGATTTCTCAATATGCAAATATATAATTAATTGTCACTTGTTCATTATAAGTATAAAAGCACCTGGGAAAGGAGCAGAGATTCTTGAAATATGCCTATTATTCTGTTTTAAGGATATAGTATCAAATTAAAGTAAAAAATGCAACAGATTTTTTTTAAGTTATGAGAATGTTGAAACTATGATCTCTTCATTTTTTTCCATAACAAGAATTGAGCAACTACAGAGGAATGCACCTGGCCTGCCTCTTGAATTCTCTAGAATTATATGAAGTTTTTCCAATTGCTAGTATGACAGTAGACTTTAGTAATGCTCTGAAAGGCATTCTCCTCAGCTGCATGGAATAGGATGGGACAATAAATGCTTATTATTTCTCACTATTCTACAGGTTGACTAGGCAGATCTAATCTGGTAGCATCTTGCCAGTCAACAATGACCTCACTCACATGTCTAGGCTGGGATAGCTGAGACCTCTTTCCAAGAAATCTTTTATCTTCCAGTGGGCCAACTTGATTTTGTTCAGATGGTAGCAGAAGTGTTCCCAGGAGCAAGGAAGGGTACGACTAATAGGCAGAAACTTTTAAAACCTCTTTTAGCACCACGTTCAGTGCTGTCCCATTGGCCAAACCCAAAGTGAGTCGTTGGGGTGGGAGAGTATGGCATGAGGGAAGGGAACCTTGCAAGGTCACTGTTACAGAGAGCAGAATCATGACAGCCATTTTGCAGATAATCTACTTCTTTTTTTATTTTTAATTTTTTTTTTCTGCTGGGCAGAGGGCACAGTCAGAAGGACAGCATGCATGTCCGAGAGCAAGCCTGTGTCGCGCTTCAGGCCAGAGGGGGAAGCAAGGCTCTTCCCCAGAAGGACAGATTCTCGACAGATCGCAGCAGAAATCACCCTAATTTTACACTCTCAGGAGAGCGGGAGAAAGAACAACAGGCTGGCTGCGGGGTCGAGAGGAAAGACAGAAATGTCAGCGAGGCCCAGAGACCTCCTCCTAAGTGGTGACCCAGTGAGTCCCCCAAAGAGGGGAGCTGGAGAGCACGGGTATCTTTGCGCCCCCTTTTGTGGCACAAAAAGGCAGGAGTCCTTTATGCTTTGCCTCCAAAGGTGACAGAAAACAACTGGGGTCTGGGGCTTAGGGTCCCTAGTGTCTTTGGATCCTCCTGAAGCCTGTTATGACAGGACGAGGCGGGAGCCACCAGGCCCAAGGGGATGCTCCTAAGTCTGGAACGAGGTGTGAGAGGGCACGGAGGTGGGTCAGGAGGCCCTCAGGAGGGGGGGCCGGGGGCCAGCACGTGTCATCTCTCAGTCACGTTCCTCTGCATCTCCCTGCTATTGCATCCACAGTGGAGGGTGATAATCTACTTCTTATATCACGCCTGTATCTTCTTGACGGGGGACTAGAACCCTACATGCCCTGCATACCTGTAACTCCTTCCTACATTCTGGCCCATGGAAGATGATCCCACCCCTGTTTTACAGTGTAGGTTTTACTGTTATTAGTTATGGTGAGACCAACAGATCAGAAGACAGCTGCCACTGGAAAGACAGTTTGCTACTCACAGTGCCCGAAAGGAGGGCACACCATGGCACGGTGGGCCTTACGGAGAAGCAGCAGCATCAGTCAGGAGGAGAGAGCAGAAGAGGGAAAATGCAGACAAGAACCGTTACTGTGGCTTCTGCCGGAAGGAATGGGCGAGGTGGGGTCAGCAGGCCAAGGACTGGTTGGCTTGAATAATTTCAGTGGGATCTGGGGTGTAAGCTTTAACCCTGGGTGATCAGGGCAGGAAGTAGAAGGGCCCAACAGAGGCAGTGGGGTGGGCTGGGGCTGTGACTCTGAATCGGTTGGTTTGTATATGAACCTTCAGCATGAACTGTTTACTCTTCTAGGCCTGGAAGGGGCCAGGAAGTTAGGCTGGGAAGTTAGCCCTGGAAGGGGCACTCCCTTCAGTGTCATCAAGGCCTGAGGAGATGTCAAACATCAGAAAAAGTAGAAAATAAAAAGGCATGGTTAATACAGCCCCCATCTGAAAATTATATTCCTAAAGCAATAATGTATTACTGTTCTGAGAGAGTGCAGTAAGTCTCAACTTTATTGCATAAAACCATGCAAACTGGCCCTGCTGGTGATACAATGACCACAGAATTCTCAAAATATTTTTAAAGGATTTCTCAGTCCCATTTGACTTCTGGCTATCCTGTCTTTTTTCTGGGGTTTCTTTTTCCAGTGTTCAGCATTAACACAGGACCATCTTAGCATTCTTCTAAATGTGTGTGAAAAATATATGACACATTCCCTGAACGGACAAAAATGTTTTCAGGGGAAGCTATCTCATATAAGTAGAAGGCAGTGTCAGCTAAATACACTTTAATGATGATTTATTTAGTACCTGCTATGTGCCAGGCACTATGATAAATGCTGTGGGATTTTAATCAAATGGCACTTAGATTCTCAAGGGGCTCACAATTTACTGAGCACAAATTACAGGAAAACAAATGATTGAGCTACAGTTAGAAGTCAACTCTGTTGAAATGAGTCACAAACAGCTTCAAATAGATCTTCAAGATAGACCTTCAAAGATGAATTTGACGCTTGGGTGTGGGTAACATCTCAGGCAGTGGGAACTGTATGTTCAAAGGCACAGAAGTAGAAATCAGCAAGTCATAATGAGCCGAAAACACTTCCTGTATGACCAGAACCTGGGATACATATGGAAAACTGGTGAGAAATTAGGCTAGGCAGGAACTTCATGATCAAGGAGGGTCTTAAATGCTGTACGAAGGAATTTACCCCACCAACAGTAAGGGACAATTTATGAGTTTTAATCAGAAAAATAATATGAAAAAGCTTCATTTTTTTAAAGGTTTTGGGGGCTCTACTATATAGGATCCTGTACTCACTTAGGGTAGGGATTCTATCTGTCTTTATCACATCTGTTCCCCAGCACCTAATGAAAGGCCTAGTCCTTAGTACACACTCATGCAGTTGAGACCACTGTGCTAATTACATGTCCCACATGCTTTCTTACATTTCCCAGTTTTCCTTGCAGTTAAATTGAAGCTTTGTAATTAGCTCTGGCCAATGAGTGTTAACAGAAGTGATTTGGTGACCATTTGGATATGGAAGGTGAAGATGAGAGATGAACCTAGAATGACTCTCAAAATCTTGCTTGGATCATTCAGAAATGATCATAAGGAATAAGTTTGGGGATAGAGATAACTGGCTCAATTTTGGATATCTTGAGTTCAAATGACTATGAGATGAACTTTTCATCAGAATAGAGCTAAATGTTGCAATGCATAACATAGACAATTACTATGGGCAATCGGAACAATATTAAAAGATATAGCACTTTATGGAGAATGCTAGAGTGGCCGATCAACCAAGGTTGTCTGTCCAGGATTGAGGAGTTTCCCTGGGATGCAAGAGAAAATTTCTGTGCCAAAACTGAGATAGCCCAGGTAAACAAGGATGGCTGGTCACCCTTAGTTCTGCTTTGCTATACCACCTGCAAAAACATGGCTAGCAAGTTGTTCTCCTCTGAATTCAGAAATCTGGATTAGAGAGATCTAGACTCTTCCAAACTTCTGTATCTTAGCTACCATTCAGTTCCAAAGACTGTGAATCTTGATTCGGCAAGATAAGAAGTAAAATATGAATGCTATAAGCCAGAGTCATGCTGGTACCAACTCACATCAGCTCACAAGAGCTAATTCTGCTCATTTCTTCCCAGCTCCATATTTAGGGGGTCAGGTTGATAGGTCAGAATTGGCTATGCTGGTGAATTCCTATGCTAGAAATTGGCAAGTAGTACTATAAATCGGAGCCGCCCCAAAACTGGGTTTTAAATGTTTACGAGCACACCACTGCCCTAAGCTGAGTTGAAAAAGTGTGGCAGACGTTGCATCGTGGGCTCAGTCAATGGAGTTGCAGCTGGCGCTCTACACCATCCCTTTCCTAAGACAGTGCGTCTATCCCCCAGATGCTGTGTGTCCTGGCTGCCAGCAACTCTTAGCCACCCCCTTCACCTGAGAACTGTCCTCAGCTGATGGGAGCTGTCTTGCCTGGAAATGCATGGATGTTAATGTCCTGCACTCAGTGGTGGCCTGTAGCCAGACTGACTCATAGGAGTAGCATCCAAGGTCAGCCCTCCTGCCACAAGCTGGGACAACACTGGTACCCTGTGTGTGCCAGGACTCCCTCTGGGATCATGCTGAGACTAGTCACAGATGAAATCACATCCTTGCCCACCTGCTTCCCCTTCCCCATCTTGCTTCTCTTATTTCCTTATGTGTTTTTTCCCAAGAATCTCTTTTAAAAAATCACTGGCTTAAGAGTTGCCATCTTGACCTGGAGATTTTCATACTCAGTGAAGTAAGCCAGACTGAGAAAGACAAATATCATATATCACTTATATATAAAAATCTTTAAAAAAGGCTACAAATGAACTCATTTACAAAACAGAAATAGAGCCACATCATAGAAAACAAACTTATGGTTACCAAAGGGGAAAGAGGCAGGGAACAAATTAGGAGTCTGGGATTAACATATGTAACTCATATATAAAACAGATAACTAACAAGGACCTACAGGATAGCACAGGGAACTCTAATCAATATTTTGTAAAAACCTATAAGGGAAAAGAATCTGAAAAACAGCATAAGAGACTCCCCATTTTAGGCTCTGCTTTTAGGGAACATGACTTACCATACCCAGTCCAGAAGAACCTCCATTGAATGAACATATAATCTTTGCTATATCTCATGTACTAACTAACGAAATGTTGAGAGAACTTTTGATCTTCATCCTTCATTTGAGCAAAAAGCATCCCTTTGATTCTTGAACTTTCTGGAATCTCATTTGTAATTCTCCCTCCTTCCTTTGTACATATCTAGCAGTAACCTCAAAATGTTTTTTAGGGGAGCTTTCAATTTTGCATTTTGAACTTTGGATCCTCCTTTATCTAAATTGAGAGAAGGAGAAATGAAACTACAGTGTATTCGCATGACATTTAAGGTAGAACAATTTAGTTGCAGTAGGCAATCACGTGGAGCAACCATTAAGGGCTGAATTATACCATCTGTAGCTACTTAACATGCTGAACCATTCCTCTCCGTCTGGAAAAATCATAAAAAGGGGTCCGTCAGCACTCTGAGTCACTGCTAAGAAGCTTATGCATCCTCACACCTACATTTAAATGAGTGTTTCCGGGGCAAAATACAAAGACCTTAGAGAAATGAAATGAAGCACTTTAGCAGTGAAAAATAATATTAGTTTCCATTTGCATTTGTAAATTGACTGCAGGAAGGACACTTCTGGGGTTAGTTTATTAATAAGAATCATTTTGAATAACTTTTTAAAAAATAGCACATATTTTTAAAACATGGATAGATCATATAAGAAGGATTATAAACAAGTGGCAAAATTTGATGATAACCAAGATATGAAGGAATAGTAACTGGTAGGATGCCTTGCTCCATTCCAAATAGGAATTCTGTAAGTATGGAAATAACATAAATCGTATCAGTAGTAGGATTCAGAACCTGGTAGGTGACAGTCCATGGGGTCGCAAAGAGTTGGACACGACTGAGCGACTTCATCTTCCTAAATTTTATATTTTATTAGGGTATAACTTACATTGAGTATAGTGACTAAATCTTAGGTACTTGTCTTGATAAATTTATAGACACATACACACACACAATCATCACTTATATAGAGATAGAAAATTTCTAGTACTCCAGAAAGCTCCCTCAAATATCTCCCCACCAAAAGTAACCACCATCTGACTTACAGTGTAGATTTTCCTAGATTGTCCTTTATCCGTGGAATAATTGTTTCCCTTAATATTATGACTAGTAAGTCATAGTAACCTTTCATTGCCTATTTCAAACATCTCTTTCATCCATCATTATCTCAAGACTCATTAGACTTTTGCTACTTGGAAGACCTCACCCTCTTATCATCCCCACTGGGCACCCTTACCCATGTGATAGTCACAGTCTCAATGTGATCCTTGGAGATTTTGCCCACCTATGGAGCAAAACACATCCCAGACTCTTAGCACTGCTGTTCTGGATGCATATCTGCAAATTCTAGGACCCAAATCTAGATCCTTTTAGGATCTCTTACCTCTGGTAAGAGGTAAGTCATGCCTCAAGCCAGTGCCACCATGCCATCATATGAGCAAGGGCCATTAGGGGTGGACCACATTGCCACTCCTGAAGTTTACTAACTTAAATATACACACTTCAGGAGATGTCACTGTTTGACTCATCCTTAGACCAGCCTCCTGCAGAATTGTTCAGGATGAGATGGAGTGGGAAAAAGCTACAACCTCTTCTCTTTGCATGGTGCTGTATACACATTTTATCCCGTTACAACCCAACAGTGTCTGATTTCTGGTATGCCATGTTGGTTCATGTCTCCACACCTTTAATCATATCGTACATCTTTTCACCATTACCAAGTTTTTACCTTTCTTGACTTCAATTCTTTTCCTTCCCCTCAAGCCTTGGATGAATTGTCACAACCTAAAATGCCAAGTTTTTGCCTTTTCATACTGTTCCTGGGGTTCTCAAGGCAAGAATACTGAAGTGGTTTGCCATTCCCTTCTCCAGTGGACCACGTTTTGTTAGAACTCTCCACTATGACCTGTCCATCTTGGGTGGCCCCACACAGCATGGCTCATCATTTCAT